CCCCCCCCCTCTCTCTCTCCCTCTCTCTCTCTCTCTCCCCTCTCTCTCTCTTCTCCCCCTCTTTATCTCTCTCCCCCCTCTCTCTTTCTCCCCCCCTCTCTCTCTCCCTCTCTCTCTCTCTCTCTCCCCTCTCTCTCTCTTCTCCCCCTCTTTCTCTCTCTCCTCCCTCTCTCTTTCTCCTCCCCCCTCTCTCTCTCTCTCCCTCTCTCTTTTTCTCTTTCAGTATGTATGTGATGGTGATGATAAGACTTGGCTTTATGACAACAAACACCTTCCAGTTCATGGAGGAAAGGCAAGAAATTAAGTCACTTGCATGTTCTCTCTCTCTCTTTTTACTTGTCATAATTATCCTTCTCTCTTATTAAACTTATCTTCTTTCTATTTCTTTTTCTCAGGCATTTCTCTTAATTTATGATGAAGTGGAATCACTAGTGAGAACAGAGGATTCATACAGGTGTGTGTGTGTGTGTGTGTGTGAGTGTGTGTGTGTGTGTGTGTGAGTGTGAGTGTGTGTGTGTGTGAGTGTGTGTGTGTGTGTGTGTGTGTGTGTGTGTGTGTGTGTGTGTGTGTGTGTGTGTGTGTGTGTGTGAAGATTGGCTTACATCACGTGCCTCTCTTGTCTTTTATTAGGGACAACGTCGACATATTGAAATCAGTTCAAAAGCTTCAGCGTTTCTCCGTTCCACAATTTATGGAGAAAAAGATGAAGGACTTTGTGAGAAATGTCCAAGGTAAGAGAGAGAGAGAGGGGGGGGGGGTGAATGATAATAAAGAAGTGTGGAGGAATCGGATAGCAATATAAAGTTGTTATGACTATACTGGAAGCCATGTCTATGTATGCACATTATATTTATATGTGTATTTGTTAGTGTTGTATTATACCAATATTGAATACTAATATTTTTGCTAATAATCCTATTTATGTGTGACCTATTTGTACAACACATAAATAATACAGTACCTGTAAAGAGATCTGTATGGTGCTATAGTGTTTGATACAGTATGGTCTAGTCTGAAATTATATCCATGAGTTTTTGCACTATGCATTACTAATGTGTGAGTCTAATGACATGCATTACTACCACTCAGTGTTTTCTTTGAGGCAATCATGTACATCTATTGTATTGTGTGCCTATCTTCATATTTACCAATTGTAGCATATTAGCCTCTGTAATAGAGGCACCTCTATATTAAGGACACCTTTATAATAAGGATATCTTTATAATGAGGACATTTTGTAATGTCCCACTTGGTAGAAGCCTATACAAAAGTACCTCTGAAATGAGGACACCTCTGTATTAAGGACAGGTAGTGTGGGCCCAATGGTGTCCTTAATAAAGAGGCTACACTAGGTATACTTGTAACTAGAGAATGGTTATGTGTATAGGTTAGGTTAGGTTAGGTTAGGTTGGGTTGGGTGTTGTATGTTTACATCTTCTGTGGCTGCAAGTGTCTGCTTGCTTAGGGTTATGCATCACACATGAAAGCATATTTACATTTGAGAAGTCAATTTGGTTTCTTATTACCAATCTGGATAGTAAATGATCAATAATAATAATAATAATAATAATAATAATAATAATAATAATAATAATAACCATTAAGTTTATATTTTGTTTTATTGTACAAGTGTTATCTCATTATGCCTCCATGCCCATAAATCACAAATTAATTAATTGTTTTGTGCATAGTCAGACCTTAGCACTTCATGTTTTTGTGTGTGTGTCTGTCATAATTATAATTATTATTGTGCTTGTAATTAAATTGTACTTTTTGTCTAATTTAGGTTATTTTGCTCAGGAGAGTGCAGCAGCTGCTGCAGCTACAGCTGCCGCCACTTTACCAACCACAAATCCTGTACAAGAAGATAATGGAGATAAATAGACCGGAGAGATCATCCATTGGTAGAAATATTTATCAAGTTTTTAACGAAAGTCAATTCTCTCTCTTTCTCTCTTTAATCATGTCACATAAAACAAACTCAATAATAATCTTTAAAACTCTTTTGTGTTTGTTCTTATTACTGATTCTCTCAACACATAACCTGTATCATATTATTATTATAAAACTAAGACTTTCTTTTCTCTCTCCCTCTCTCTCTCTCTCTCTCTCTCTCTCTCTCTCTCTCTCTCTCTCTCTCTCTCTTTTGCTGTATTCAATCACTCATTCATTAGATTATTTGATCAATCAGTTACATCTCTTATAATCACATATTTCATTCTTGTAGTAATTTTAATTATTATTATCATACATTTTTGACTTTTCGTTGTTATAATAAAAACTTTAAAATAAGTCACCTTCATTCTACCAAAGTACCTCACCCACTCTCTCTACCCCCCTCTCTCTCTCTCTCTCCCTTTCTCTCTCTTCTTTATTGTTTAAGTGACAAAGAGCCTTTGTAGTATTTCAAACCCACATGCTTATAGACGTTGCCATGGCAATGCATTCAGTCCATTAGCATGACTTGATAACATAGAGCAGAGACACATCACATAAAAGAAGCTTATGATGAATATTGTTTTTGTCGTTCACATTTTAAGATAATGAATTAAGTTCTTTTTTATAAAATAGTAATAATAATAATAATAATAGTTGCTTCATTTCAAAGTAAAAAAAAGAAAGAGAGAGAGAAAAGAAAATGAAGAAAACACAAGATTGCAGATCATGTACAGTGAAACGAATAAATATTATAAACGAGCAAGGGAGGAAGAGGGTAAAGACATGGGTGTAAAGACTAGTAATAATAATTTTAATGTCAATTTTATATAATATTATTTATATTGGAGAAATGTTTTTGTGATGATAGCCTCTTGGACCTTAGGCGCATTTACACGAAGTGACTCGTACATCTTTTACTGTCTCCACCTCATATTTACCTTCTTCTGTAACCATTAGCACCTGTATCTCTTCAAACTCGTTTCCGGCGCAACATGGTTCAATAGCAGCTGCAGGGTGTCCTTGAAGAAGGGACAGAAACTCGTACAGACGCGGCGTCATGTTGTCAATAATCGGACAAATGCCGTCACAGTAATTGGCATTGAAAAACTCGGGACTAGTGACAAAGTCGAAACCAAGATCATCAGCGAAGCTAATGTTAAGTGGTTTAAGGCAGCACGTGACTTGGTTTTCTTTGCACAGGTTGAGAGGGGTAGATCCTTCGGGGAGTTCTTGTCTCTTTGCCCGGGTTCTCTCAAGTGGATTGAACGATGTGATGATGATCCTTGGGGCATTCATGTCGGCGTCAAAATCCTCAAATGTGACAGGCGGGATATGAGGGTGATTGTCGTGCGCACAGGTTGGTGAGCTAAGGCATTGAACTGACACAACTAGTGTGACATTCCCACTCACTCCTTGATCAATCCAGTTCCTTGCTGCCAGTTCGATATTGAAAGCTACGAACCCTTCCTTGAATGGATCGACCATTTTGCCTGTGACTGTTACATCAAGTTCCAGGGCTTCGTAAACTGCATTTATTTCCACGTACTGCTCTTTCAAAGACTTGTGCCTGTAGTGGGGATCCTGGACAGATGGCGGCATCTGGTAAAGAAGGAGTTCTGCTCTTCTGATGTTATCCAGTTTGCTGGGGAGGTCAAAGTTAAAAGTGATCTTGTACTCAGCTAGGACATTGCCTCGTCCTGTACGAGCTGAGCGCTTTGCTGCAGTCGAAGCAACCTCTTCTACAGAGAGAGAGAGAGAGAGAAATCAATAATGCATTATTATTGAGATTAAAACTAATGGCATCAATTAGATGGGTTGTATTTCAAGAATCCACTCACTCCTACTCTCCTACAGGTGCAATATGGAATGGATTACACAGAAAGCTCTTTTGTCAAGGCTATCATTAACGTGATCATTGGGCTCAGGCTGCACAAAGCCTCCACTACTGTAATAATGATTTAGCTCCTTCCCACATGACTAACCTGCATTGATGGATCCAATGAAGGCAGAGACAGGGCTCGCATATATGGAGTTCGACTGACAAGAGTGGCTCCGCTCTTGTGAGAGAGATTCCGAAGCGGCCGTGAGGGCATTGAAGCTGTCCAAGATTTCCTTGGGAACAGGTGCGGTCCGATTGACCACAGGAGGCTCCGAGAGACCTAGCTGGCCTAGAATATTGGCTCTTATGCCTTGCACTCTCCTTCTTTTGAGGACCTTTTCGTCCGCAATGGAGCAGCTTTGAGCCCGAGTGGGCGATGGTAAGGAGATAAGAGCTATGAGGCATAGAAGACAGGGTATGGTGTGGCTGAGAGAAAATAATTTCATCTTTTTTCCTATTATTAAGTAGACTGCAGTGATTTTGTGTTGATACTAGTAGTAGTAGAAGTGACTTTTCCTGATGATCGTCCTAAGGCCTTTTATCGCTTTTTATATCCATTCTGTTCGTTCCCTGTGGTCGGTACTTGCGAAAAGCAGCTATAAAACATTATTAAATTATGCAAATCTTGGTATGTTCACGCCCACTTAAAGATGGCGGCAGCTCCTTCTTCAAAGAAAGTGGAGGAATACGAAACTTTCTTTAACGAGAGACTTGCAGTGGATTTGGAAAACACATTAGCCGAAAGAGACAAGATATACGAAGAGATTTCGGAGTACAATCAGCTAAAGAACTTTATAGAAAGCACCCCAGAGGCAGGCCCAATGAAGACAATGGTAGACATTGGTTGCAACTTTTACATGAGAGCCAAAATAAAAGACCCGACCCACATCAGTGTATTAGTGGGGCTAGACATATACCTCTTTATGACGAGACCAGAGGCACTCAGATTCATTACTGTGCGTAATAAACACCTTTATGACAAGGTCGCCATTTTATCATCGAAAGCAAGCGATATTAGAGCAAGAATGACACTCGTATTAGAAGGACTCAGAGAAATACAGGGATTGCCTGCAGAGGAAAAGGAGAAGCCACAACGAGAAGTCTGGTAGTGATTGCACCACGAACATTTTAAAATTGAAAGAATCATGTACAGTGTACTCTCTTATACTATTCAGTTAGAAGCGTTACATCATTCACAATGAATCGTTTAATTAGATGATTGTTGTTATAATAGGGCATCTTTCCCAAGCATGTTGGCTACAAAAAACTAATGTATTCCTATTCAGTAGGTACAATGCTACAACAGTGTGTCCTCATTCAACAATCTGATGGTATAATAATAATAATAATACAATTAGCAAACACAACAATTTATGACAATAAAGATAACAATAATAATAATGCAGAAAAACTGGTATAATGTCAAATTGCACACACAAGACCGACCATAATAATAATAATAACAACAACAATAATAATAATAATAATGATAATAATAATAATGATAATCTAGGCACTCACAAATAGAATTAAACAAAGCAAGAAGAGAAGTAACAAGACCATACAATAATATTAAATACATGCAATATGCAACAAGATGTTGAGAACCTTAAGATTTGCTACCTTTTATTAATACAAACAGTCACTAAGAGAGAGAGAGTGAGTGACAACTAAGATCCTCCTTCAAAGTTTGCCTTGGTGGCGATAATGATACCAATAATGACTCCGAAAAGACCAATGGCACTTGCAAATATTTCAATGATGAGAACCTTCACAAATAATGTAGCATTCTGAGCATCTGCTAGGGCTGCTCCACTCCCAACCACACCCACTGATATACCACAGGCTATGTTGGTCAGACCTACGCTCACACCGGCCGCAAAAATGGCATATCCCGAGAAAAGCGAGGCTTGTGTATAGGTTCCGTCAGAATAAAGGTTTTCAACAACTTTGACTCTTCCAGAAAGGATTATGGCCATGATGATTCCGTAAATGGCAACAGCTTCACAAAAGATGATACTGATGAGGTTACGTGTTTTAATCCTGGGGGCCATGACACCTGCACCTAGAATGCTACTGCCGACTAAAAAAATGCCCCAGGCAGCCCCGACTATGGAGAGAGAGACAGACAGCCCCACCCCCAGGCCAGACCATATATAAGGTGAAAGATATGTGAGAAACCAGCCAAAATCAAACCTGCTCCCAAGCCCAGAGAGGTTGTAATAGAGCCCCACGCATATGAGGATGAATAAAGCGGTATAGTAGACTACTTGGTGGTGTAAACCACACAGCATCTTTAGTTTCTATTTGGGAGAGAGAAAGAGATGAGAGGGTTTGCTTCCGTTAAGTTTGAGACGTTTCTTACTGTTTGATAGCTTGTGGTGGCTAGAAACTTGGTCTTTTCTCTTTCCTTCTAATCAAGAAAGAGAAAGAAAATCTGTAGAAAAATGGATGCTGCAGAGATAGGAGGGTCACATGAGAGATCACGTGACCAATGGTAAATTAAATCTTACTAATGATTAGTTAATTAACTTTACAGGAACTTATTTCTTTCATAACCACACCCATTACCGTATTTACTCTAGAAACGTAATTCATTTTTTATAGGTCTGGAGGTATAACAAATTTCATATGCATTAACAAGAATAGATCGGTGAATATAAAAATAATTATAATAGGTACAGTATTAAAAAGAGTAGATCGGTATTGAATACAAATAGGTATAGTACTAAATATAAAAGTATAAAATAAAGTTCATCTATTCATGCTGACTACTGTATATTGCAAGTATACAGGAGCTTATGACTTCCGGTACAATCGATATGACAGCATGGCAATCGCAGCAGGAATCACCAATATCAGTACCCTCTCTGGTCTGAAGCTCATGAAATAAGACAATGCTGCTGTAAAACCACTTGAAGGATTGTTCCTGGATATCTGTTCCATTGCTCCAGTAGAGAAATTCTCTGACACCTTTAAAGTCCGATAAAGTGCTTGCATTTCTGTGACACGGACTTGGTTTTCTTTGACAGCAACTTCCAAGGCAAATTTCTTTGCAAATTCCAAACAGTCGTCCATTACTAGTCTGTACTTCTCCGGGACAACCATTAAACATAGGAACTGAAGATAAAAGTAATTCAGTGCGGTCTCTCCCACGAAAAAGCTCCTTGATTTGAGAAACCAATTAATGTAGTAATAGTTTCGGGCAAGAATATACCTATCACCATCAAGACACACATGGTACTGCTGCAGTGGTACTTCATTGGCCAGGCGTTGAGCTGTCTCGTGCTGTCTTATTGTCAAAGAGGGTCCATCAATCATCTGGCCGAATATTGGAGTGAATAATAAGGTGTCGAAAAGTTCTTTGTCAACGACTACTATAGACGCATGAGATCTGTAGATTGTAATAAAAACATATTTGTCAGTCTCTGGTGACATCTCGTTTTTGGCAGCTTGCAAATCATAAACTGATTTCCCTCTCTTCTTACAAGTTTGGACAGTCTGAACTAGACTATCTTCAAAGAGGCTTTTGTCAATATTTTCGCCAAAATGGAATTCCTCGTCACTCGCCATTTTCTCAACGTTTTGAATGTTTTCCAAGTTATTACAGTTAATTAAAACTACTTAATTAACTTTAGTAATTAAGCTTTAATATTAATTTTTCCAAAATGGAGTTCCCAGTAGAGGGGAGAGCAAGCGCAAAGAAATTCCTTGAATACTTCCTATCCAAGAACAGCTTTCCGGCCTCCCTGGAGGACGCTGTACCCGTACAGCCTCCCTCCACAAACGGACGGGGAGTGAGAGAGACGGAGGTAGAAGCGGAATGCATGAACATGTGCAGGAATTTACTTGCTGGATGGTGAGAAGAGAGGGAGAGGGCGTGAGAGAGAGAAAGAGGAAGGAAAGAAGCTCAACAAACCGCCACCACCAAGACCCAAAAGTGCTACAATGGGTTGTAGTATACGGAAATCTATCCCGTATTTGTTGAGCTTGGGATCTGATATCCGGGAGTGCACTTATAATTTACTGACTTTTCATTTCTAGCTCCTGCCCTGGTCTACTCAATTATAATATAACATGTGCTGCTATACAGGAATTAATGGGTGGGTCCCTAGAGGAATATCGTCTAAAGAAAGAGAGTCCTGACGAGGAACAAGAGACCGAAAGTACGTTTTTGTTTGTGAGTCTTTTTTGCAGATTTATTAAAAAATGAATTTTTCGTAGAATAGATTTGCCACACCCTTAAGTGGCAATTCAGAAATGCAATGAATATTTTATGGAGCTTTAATCTATTCTTATGCAACAATTCTTAAACTAATTTTGTGTTGGCTTCCTACAAGCATTTGTTTTAACCATAATGTCCCTTCACTTGATGTCACCTTTTCACTATGACCTGATATACATATATGGGGAAGCTTTCCCTCTCTTCCAAAAGCAGCCTCTTACAGTTAGTGTAGCAGCTATAGCAGTATTGTTTGTATCACGGTTTCCTTTTTCATGATTAATTATTAATATCATAGCATATGAAACTGTTCAACACCCTAAGCTTGTCATCATTTTGTATTTTATAACTGCAATACCAATGCATGGCAAAATTACCGGATCCATTGTATCATTATGTTGTTGTATACAATTATCTCATTATGCTCCAGTAGTGCCCTAGTGACATTAATAGCTGTTATGTCTGCAATTACTACCCATTATTGTACCATTATTGTTTCAGTTTATAATAACACTTTAATGAGGACCAGCACACGCAATTGAGCAATATTCACACACACACACACACACACACACACACACTTCTCAACCTTTAACATTAAAGTGTGGCTCTGTATTCTTTATTGATTATAATTGGCTTGTAACCACATTTTAGGATAGCCTGATTGTTCCAAGGCTGAGTGGTCAACACACAATTATAAGCAATAGAATAGAATAGAATGTGGTTTCTCCAACTTAGTGATAGTAGCTAGGGTACCTACTTTGTTTTAATGGATGGAAAACCAATCTTGTTAAATGAATGATGAAATACTGAATGCTGTTAAGCATTAATGCATGTGTGTGTACCAATATTGTAGTTTTAATAATACTTCCTGCATCTACATTATGCATGATACATTCATGTAAGTATTATGTATCTTTAGAGATGTACAGTGAGGGTCTATTAGCAGTAGCTACAGTTCGGGCAGCTCACACAGTTTGCCAGAGGTGGGCGGAGTCTTTGGGTCCTCTCACTTGTCCTCGGAGCAGACCTGACTTCTCTGCTTTCTGCATGAAGAACAAAAGACGCAAGATGGAGGACAGACATTCTATTTGTCTTGATATTAATACGCTGTATGGGATAAAGGTGAGGGGAGAGAGAGAGAGAGCGAGAGAGAGAGAGAGAATAATCAATAGAGAAGTTCCTCTTGTCATCAGTAGATTCACCATACATGTACATTTGCAGCTGTAGTGTAGTGTCCCTTATTCACAGTCCAAACTAAATCTTGTTTATTCCGGCCTGAATCTTTAAGTCATAATAATCACACGAAATCATACTTAGAACAACCCCAGATACAATATTGACATTCCTTTGCCACACGGTGGTAATTGTCCTCCGGATGTTTAGACAGACTTTAGTTGTCACTAAATGCAAAGAGTATCAACTATCGAAGGAGGGGAGCCATAGCGACTGTTTTATGAAACAGTAAATATTGATAAAATTATATTTAGGATAATTAAGTTATTTTATTAATTATAACGAACACATGATGCTATGTCTTTTCCCCTTCTTCCTCTCTCTCTCTCCCTTCTCTCTCCCTCTCTCTCTCCACCTATCACACCTAATTTCCCCTTCCTTCTTGTTAGGGTTTCGCTCATGACCAAACATTTTTTGGCGTGTACGATGGTCACGTGGGGCCTGAAGCAGCTGACTATTCTTCCAGACACGTTCATCACAACATTATAAGACACCCTTCCTTTATAACTGACCCTGTACTGGCTATAAAGGAAGGCATAAAGGTGACAGATGAAAGGTTCTGCTCTACTGTAAGTTTTCTGTTTAAGCCATGATTCTTCCTTGCTAGTACTCATCCTTTATCATAATGTCCTTTAACTTTATGTAAGGTTTTAGTTGAGTCTTACTTTAACCTTTCGAGTTGTGGCCATTAATTTTATTAAAAGTGGTAGATTTTCGGAAAAAGGCAAAGACTATAGTCCATGGTTTTTTCAAAAAATGGCTCCAAAATCACCCTCAATTTTTATTACATTTTCTTATACATATCAATATCCTTATGCTGTGTAGAAAGTTTGAGTTGATTTCGACCAAAAATTTTCAAGTTATGAACATCACAATGATGATGATGATGATAATGGTAATACCAGCTCTGTCTTCTGTGTAGGGTTTCAAATCTGGATCCACAGCCGTCGTTGCCCTGATACGAGGACCGATGCTTTATGTGGGTTGGGTCGGGGATTCACAAGCTTATCTTGTGAGGAAAGGAGTAGCCGTCCAAATAATGGAGCCACACAAACCTGACAGAGAAGTAAGAATTATTATTATTATTATTATTATTATTATTGTTATAAGCAAAAACAACAACAACAAATAGAAACCTGTCTATCCACTCAGTCATATTTATAATATGTATCTACTATTATAATTATTATTTTATATTTGTGCTCTTTATTTACTTGTCCCAAATCATCATTATGTACACACTGTCAGGGTTCAATATCCAAACCTACAGTGGTGCATCATAATTGTTTAATTGGTATGAAATCAGAGAAGATTAGTGTGCCCTGGCCTTTTAGCATGATTCAGTACATACTGTACATGTATATGGGTTTATGTGATAATTCTTCTGTCATTAAGTTATACATAAACTTTGGGAATTTCATCATAGGAAGTTAGATCTTCAGGATATTAATATTAGCAATCATGTTGTTTTTATTGTGATGTAAGTGCATGGTATAGTTAATTAATGTCGTTAGAGGCATGACTTTAGCACTACCATAATTAGGTACATTTAATTGATAAACCATGTCACATGCTGCCAGTATTTCATTAAGAGGGTTCGCTTTCTTGTAGCAGTTTATACAGTTCTTGTTTTACAAAGGATATGGAGTCATAGAGTCCCATTTTTTGGACTCTTCAATCACATTTTATTCTCACCACACCCTCTACTAGTAATAGTACATGTACATGTACGTTTTAGTCTCAATTTAATTTTGAAGACATGGCAAGTGATTGTGTCAGACAGACAAAATTACAAAAGTGTCCCAACAAAATTTTGTCTTGAAACGCCAGCATTGATCATTAATGTGGTTGTTGCTTCATATCTCTCCCCTCCCTCTCTTTCTCTCCAGGATGAGCAGCAGCGTATAGAAGCAGCAGGTGGTCTAGTCATTAACATTGGAGTATGGAGAGTGAACGGTAACCTTTCGGTCTCACGAGCCATTGGAGATCCCAAGGACAAGAAATACGTGATAGGAGACGCAGAAGTATCCGAGATAGAACTAGACGGGACTGAGGACTATCTTGTGGTCGCTTGCGACGGGATTTGGGATGTTGTGAACGAGGAAGAACTCACGAGCCATTTGGAGGAGTATTTTATAAAAGGAGGTACCAAATCTGACGCTGCCAAGTCCCTAGTTCAGTTTGCGTACAGTGAAGGATCTGGTGATAATCTGACGGCCATAATAGTCTTCTTTGATAGTTTTAAGATACCTGTGAAACCGGAAAATGTGTCTGGAACTGAGACTGGTTCTGCTGGGACTGAGACCGGTTCTTCCAAGACTGAGACCGGTTCTGCCAAGACTGAGACCAGTTCTGCTGGAACTGAGACTGATTCTGCTGGAACTGAGACTGATTCTGCTGGGAATGGGAATGGAATTAAGACCAGTTCTGCTGGGACTGACTCTACATCTTCGGATAATAATTAAGCGTCTCCTATGGCAACCACCATCCTCCCTTTGAATATTTAATTGAGTGATAACTAATAAGATTTTGTGTGAATGTGTGTTTAAAGAGAGTGACTAAAATTATTATTATTATTATTATTATTATTGATAATATTAATATTTTTTTAATTTTTATGATTATTAATAATTTTATAATGATACAGATCATAATAATGAATAATTGATTATTTTGTGACGTCAAATATTAAGCCACGCCCATTATAATTATTTCTCGTAGTCATAGCACCCACGCATTATAATAGACTGGTCATACAAACATGGCTACTCCGACCGACCAAGGAGCGCTGCTTCTTAAAAGACAGCTAATGGGTAGGTACGGCCCTTGCCTTTCCTCCTATACAAATCCTTCTTAACCCACAGATCTACAGAAGACGCCTGTAGAAGGATTTTCTGCTGGTCTGATCGATGATGATGATATTTTTAGTTGGGAAGTTATGATAATGGGTCCCCCAGACACATTCTAGTAAGGAAGTGGTCCTTAATTTTGAGTATATTTTATATCCGTACAGTGAGGGCGGGTTTTTCAAAGCGCATCTCCTTTTCCCGAAAGAGTATCCACAAAAACCACCGAAAATGAAATTCGTCAGCGAACTTTGGCATCCAAATAGTGAGCAAAAATGAAAATATTATTTAAGTTTTATTACATTTAAACCTCTCTTTCTCTGGTACACACACACACACTTAAAATAAATTGACATTGTTCTTTAAACACACTCACTAATATACAAACTAAACAACATCATCATGTCTTCATAGTTGATAAAAATGGCGACGTTTGTATATCGATCCTCCACGACCCTGGAGAGGACAAGTGGGGTTATGAGCGACCAGAGGAGAGATGGCTGCCTATACATACTGTAGAGACAATCATAATGAGTGTCATATCGATGCTAGCCGATCCAAATGATGAGAGTCCGGCGAATGTGGATGCAGGGGTAAGTGTACCAAAAATTATTTAAAGCCAAAGACATAGTGGTGCTAGTATAGTGTTTGGTTGAAAGTTGCTAGGAGAGATGTCATTGATGCATGTACATGTACTTATGTTGTGTAGAAGGTTTGAGCTGATTCCGATCAAATTTAGATTTTTTATGATTTTTTAAAGTTGCTCCAAAATTGAGTAAAAGTCCCTGTACTATAGTACATGGTCTCAGGCCAAATTTTGTCGAAATTGGAAAGGAGAGAATTCTCCATTTTATAATATTTTCTGATGCATATACATGTACTTATGTTGTGTAGAAGGTTTGAGCAGATTCCAATGAAGTTTGGATTTTTTATGAATTTTTAAAGTTGCTTGAAAAGCAAGCCAAAGTCCCTGTACTTTTGTCAAAAAAGAAAAAAAAGAAGAGAATTCTCAATTATATAGTACATTTCTGTTGCTCTTCTTTTTGCAGAAGGACTGGCGAAACGACTATAATGGAGCTTTTAAGAAAAAGGTTATGAAATGTGTCAGAAAGAGTCAAGATTGCCTTTGAAGGTTGAGACAAAAATTGAACAAAGTTGAATATAACATGTGCACTTCTTCTTCTAATAATAATAATAATAATTATTATTATTATTATTATTGTTTCATTCATTTCACTAATTATTACTCACCAAGTGACACTGCTGTGTCAGTTATACTCACATATTATTATTATTATTATTGCCTATTAATTATTGGGTTTTTATTTAAAATATCTCTCTCTCTCTCTCTGAACTAGACTTATGTAAATCCTCTTGATATCTTCTTAGAGCACTAAATTATTATTATTTTATTATTATTATTGTTGTATAATTTTTGGCTTGAATCATTAATCGCACAATACAACACAAAGAGAATCATAAAATAAACAGTTTAAATTTTAAATAATAATTATTATTCTTCCAATAATGAATTCTTCCGTTAAAAATCAAAAGGATTATAATCAGTTCCGCTATCACTAGCCTGCGTCCTTCTCCTATTGCCACGCCTCCTGGTCCTCCTTATATTACCATCAATCGCACCTCTCTGTTTCCGTGATGACAACCACTTTGGAGGGGAAGATTTAACTTGTCTTCTTGTCCTCTTTCTATTTGGTAGTTCTTCAATGGCCTCATCGTCTGATGTAGAATCATTGATAATACGTGACTTTGCTCTCCTCTTTATGATAAAAGGCTCCGAGTTTATTGGTGACAGAGACAAGCTATTAGAAGCTAATGGACACAAAGGTAAGATGCTATGAGTGGATCTTCTCTTGCTAGAGTGCTGGTGAGTATTGACTTCTTGAGAAGAATTAGGAGTTGATAATGGCTGAGTTGTATCTTCATCACTTGTGACTCTCTCCTCCTCCTCTCTCTCTCCCTCAGTCTCTACTGGCGACTCTTCAATGACATTCACTGAAGAATGAGTCAATGAACAAGGAGAAGATGGCGTACTTGTACCTACTGATAGAGAGACAACACCAGAAGATGACTCGGTCAATCTAGTTCCATTATCAGACTCTCTCAATTTTATTCTTTCAATGACAGGACGGAGAGGTCTGAGTCGTCCCAATGGCAGCCTAATTGCAGCATTTCTGCTCAAAGATGAAGATGGATTGCTTAATGGAAGGTCAGTGTCTGTATTGTCTGAGTTAGTAGCATCAGAAGTGATACTTAAATGACTCCTTGAAGGTCTATCTGGAGAAGAAGATACATGTGCTATGCTACTATTAGAATTAGAAGAATTAACAAAATTTGATTCCGACTCAGTGGAGTTTGGAGAACTATCATCATGAGGTGAGGGGGAACTCGATAAAACACGATTATTGGTTCTGGAATGGCCTCTGGTCACAATAGGAGAGAAGAGGGAATCTTGCTCCCTGCTGGAAGAAGGGAGAGGAGACGAAGAAGATATAGTTTCAAAATCCAAGAGAAGTTGAGTCTCTCGTGATCTGTTCCGAGTCACAGGAGGAGAGAAAAGTACTTCTATGGATGGAAGACCGTGGGTTTGGTTCCTTCTAGCTCTTGTGTTGACAGTGCTGGTTATCCTGAAGTTTATTCTCTGCTGCCAACCTCTTCTAACGGTTGGGGGAGAGGCGAAAGAAGATAAGATACTTTGATCCTCCTCATCATATGAAGAATCGTTCACAATAAAGTCGGCTAGACTATCGTTTGGCTACACAAATAAAATAAAATAAAATTTGTATGTAATTTTTGACATTTTGTTGACATCTCGATCAAGGCAAAATATTAATTATTTTAATCATTAAGGAAAAATTTACTTCGTCATATTCACTGTCGTCGGAGAAATTAAAAGCGTTAAAATCATCTCCTTCTTCGTGATAATGCTCAGTTTGATCTTTGTCTGATATTCGTATGAGATGAGGAGGACTAGCCTCACTTATCTGAAAAAATAATAAATAAAATTAATAAAATAAAAAAGAAATTATCTATGATGGTGTCCACCCTCGATCACTCTATGCCCAATAGTGGTACCGTAGCACGTACTTTTGTGATACAGCGGAATCTTTTTTTACACAAAGGACACGTATTTGTAGTCTAATAGATAGAAATGGAAATTAAAGAACCAGAATTTAAAAATAATATGTATAACATACCTTGCTCCATTCATGTATACAGGTGTAACAGAACTGATGGTCACAGACCGGTATCTTACCCCTCACTGTAACAACGTCTAAACAAATAACGCACTTCTTGATGCTCTCGTTCTTGTCCTGAATGGGAGCCATTTCAACTCCTTTTCTTGCTTTCTTCTTTGGCGCCATTGTTAAATTACACGGAGATAACCGGAAATAATTTACGGAGATAAACAGATAATAAAAATAATTATTATTAATTTTATTTAATATTAATAATAGTCTTTTGTGTATCAATTATGTTTTCTAGATTCTAAATGAAGTGGATCTGTTTTAGAATCTTCTTCAATGGACTCTTCTCCACTTCTCTTTCCAAATATTCGCTTGCTTTTCACTTTGGTATCTTGCTAAAAACATAGCAACAACATGAAATAATATTAAATTAATAAACAAACAATTGTACCTTAATTCTTCCCATTAAGTCACTCCTGCTGTGTGTGTGTGTGTGTGTGTGTGTGCAGAAAAAGAATAAATAAAAATGTACTGTAGACTGTAGTAGTAAAAATTAAGACCAAGGTAATGCAAGGTTTTAAAATGGCCGTAACTCGAATAATTGAAGTCGGAATCAGCTCAAACTTTCTACACAGCATAAGGACATCAATATGTATCAGAAAATGTAATAAAAATGTGGGGTGATTTTGGAGCCATTTTTTGGAAAAAACCATGGGCTATATGGGTACTTTTTGGAATTTTGGCATTTTCTTAAAATGGCCGTAACTTGAAAAATTGAAGTCAGAATGAGCTCAAACTTGCTACACAGCATAAGGACATCAATATGTATCAGAAAATGTAATAAAAATTTGGGTGATTTCGGAGCCATTTTTTGGAAAAACCATGGACTATATATATTACTATATATAGTATAGTACATAATAGTACTTGTAATATATGAGTATTTGTGTTTGTTGAATGGAGTTTAGTGATAGCATTACCTTCCTATCTTAGGAGAGGATAGTCCTGCTTTCTCTTCTGATTCCTTCATGCCAATAACACTTTTAATGGTCTAACAGAGAGGGGGGAGAGAGAGAGAGAGAGGGGGAGAGAGAGAGAGAGGGAGGGAGAGAGAGAGAGAGAGAGAGAGAGAGAGAGAGAGGCTTCAGTAATTCATGGAATAACAAAATGAAATTTCAATAATAAAATTAGATAGACCACACACCATACAAATGTACATACATGTACATGTACTCCGAATGCAATAAGATATCTGCCAAAACTAATATTTATAATACAATTAAACAATAGTAAATAAATACACTCGGTCATACACAAGCAACAACATAATTATAATGAGAGAGGCAGTGGGGCACTACGTGGCAGGCTGTCATAAAAATGCAAAGAGTGGGCTGGAAACAAGATTAAAAGCCAATAATTGGAATAATTATGAATTTAAGCTGATTACAGAAACACCACAGGCTAGACCCAGGCAAGACAAAACAAGACAAAAAGTGTTCCTTTGGCACCAAAACAAAGATAACCAGCCACCAATAGAGGCCACAGTCCTCCCTATCCAATGGACTGGGTCTCTGGAATTGGATTAGAGAATTGACAGGAGGACTCAGAGTCGGACGCTAGTGGAGCGTTGTTATCATAAATTATTAAGTTAAACAAGATGCAGCTGTCTATCAGTGACTGGTGGGTTTAGCCTATTATTATTACTATTATTATTATCGTATGCAATTGAATAATATAAAAGTATATTATTATTATTATCATAAAGATATATGTAGCCCAGCCTGTCTGGAGGTGTGTGTGTATAAGTAATGTAATACCTGAGGACTGAGATATCTGCTTGAGGTGAAGCTGAGGGCAGATATCAAGGGACTTAGGTATTACATTACTGATACTCACCTCCAGACACACAAACTGGTCACTCTACATTACATTTGTACAATTGCACATGCATGTTTTAACAAATTCAAATTCAATCCTACTTGTGATATTATTGATCTCTTGTAGTCTTTTTTGATTTCCAAAAGAAGGTCTTGCCAGCTGACATTAAGGTCATGGTACTGAAGGGTTGGTATGGTAACCAATTGCTCATGCATCTCCTTCACACTGATACCATCACCCTATTAATAATAATAATAATAATAATAATAATAATAATAATGACAAAAACAACAACAGTAAATTATAATAATATCTAAATAAATTAATAATAAAATCAAATAAAATTTTAAAAGGCATAAATTAATTACACAATATTCAATATTATAATTGAATATTACAAAAATAAAGTCAGCTTTACCTTAAAAGTTATACAGAGAGTCACTTGAGGTATTTTGACATACACAAATGTTTTGATGTTTGAAGCTCTTGTCTGCATTGTGGTGACTTCATCAAAAGCTTTAGTCTTGCGTTTTATTTTACGCTAAGAGAGAGAGAGAGAGAGAGAATCAAAATAAAAATTAAGCAAAAAGGAGAAGTTTTAATGTCATCTTAACGCACTCTTAACAATATTCTAATATACTTTTAATGCAGTCCTAAAACACTCTTAATGTAGTATTAACACACTCTTAACTCACTCTTAATGCACTCCTAACACACTCTTAATGTACTCCTAACACATTCTTAATGTACTCCTAACACATACTTAATGCACTCTTAACACACTATGCTTACATCCTTGTGAGGTGATTCAGGAGGTGAAGCTATGGCCCCAGGAGCACTGACCACTGATGGAGTAGTTGATGAGTAGCCAATCCTTCTTGTGGAGGAGCTGCGGCTGAATGTACCTCCATCAACAGTATCAGTACCTTGGGCTTTGAGAGTTGCTGTGGGAAAGAGAGAGAAGCTCAAATAAAGATTTAATATTATGATAAAAATCATTGTGATATAAATTTTGGGAGACTAATCCAACTAAAAATGGAAGACTTAAGAACCCCTGGGGCTAAATATGAGGAGGGACCAAATGCTGAAAATGAGAAATTTCAGGAGACCTAGACCAAATACAAGAGACCAAAAATCTCCTAAACTCCCTCTAAATGTAACAGTGATGCAATGATGATATTGATAATTTAAAATACAATGATAAGAAATAAAATTTAATACGTTGGTATCCAAAAACGTGCGAGTGATCAGGTTCTGCAGTATCCTTAGCTTCAGTTTCTGCTTTAGGTAAGAAGAAAGCCTGTATGGTCTGATAGAGTTTCTCTGTGAGTCTCACGGCCAAAGGAACCACGTTGATCTCTAAATGCTCCGTCACTGAAATACCAGCAACTGGTAAAGAGAGAGGGAGAGGAGAAAGAGTGTAATTTTAATTAAGTGTTACATACAGTACATGTAATTGTAGCTTGCAATTTTGGAGGATAAAAATTTTGGCAAATTCCAAAATTTTTAGTGTTTTTAAATTGGAGCCTTTGTGACGATAGGCTATTGAGCCAAAATGGTAGAGGTATTTTAAAAAATAAAAAAGCAAAATTCGCAAAAAAATTCTCTAAAAACACCAGCTTCATGTACTTACCTCTTGGCCTGTCTCTACAGAATATTCTCAAGGAAACATTTTTATCAACTCTCAATCTCCTTGAAGCAGGATCATAAGGAGACAGTACCTCCTATAAAAAGGATTGGGGCTACAAATGACACGCCCCTAAAACCACACCTACTCACCTGAAAAATACTCTGAACGTTGGGTATGCAATTTTTAACTCTAAATGACCCAAGCTCTAGTCTATGTTCACCGGAATCATCGTTAAAAGTAACACGATTATAACTAAAATTAGTTAATTGTATCGTAGAAATCTATGGGTGTAGTCAAACACTAATGAATATCAATGAGTCACACCCACTTTTAATTGACCGTCATCTTGCATGAGCGACCACTGGGCATCGTCAAGCCACACCTCTATTCTTCGAACAGGTTCCGGAGCCATTGGGGACACGTCTCCTAATGGGCGTGGTTATATCTGGGCGTGGTTTATAATGGGCGGGGCTTACTATCAGTTCGTGCATGAGATGGTGACATTTCAAATCGTTTCTCTTTGAAAGCTCTTATCATGGCTCTCAGTTCAAGACTTCCTTGAGATAAAGCGTCTTTAGTTTGTCCTAATTCTTTTTCAATCGTATCCCTCATTTGTAAAGTGCTGCATTGGAGAGAAGGAAGAGATAGAGAGGAGAACAAATATAGAGAAATGTACTTGTACATGTATTAATTGATAAAAAATTATCAAGCATTAAATTAATGTTTAATATATTGAAAAGTACATGTACATGTATGAACATACATAAACTGCACAAGCACAAAGACTGTAACATGTGCAAATATAGATTATTTCACAATCATTTCAACACATGTACATGTATTAATTTGATTTGCATGTGATTGGTACCTATCAGTTCCTGATTTCAGCTCAATGTACAGATCATTCTCAAGTGTCTTTAACCTTTTCAGGGTCTGCCTGTAAATTATTTTAAAAAGCAAAATAATAATAATTATTATTATTAATTTCAATACTAAATCATTTGTCATTATAATGACCTTAATCTATTCTGGAGAGCCAGTACTGGTTTCCTTATGTCTGATACGCTCGTCAATTGCAACGTAAAGTTCATCCTAGCGTGCTGCTCTGTCGCCTCCTGGGGTGAGCATTAATTAGAATGGTAGGGCATTAATTAGAACTACCTTTCGTCTTGGCTCCTTGTACAGTAGAAGCTTGTTGAGGATATCAAGAATGAGAGAGTATTGCTCCTGAAAAAGGACATGACACATGAACATAAATGAATAAGAATATACTGTACATGTAGATACATGTACATGTACATGTATAGTTGTATACATGTAAATTTTAGAGGAAGTTAAATTTGGCGAATTTGGCATTTTGATAGCCATTCGCCAAAATAAAATTCTGCCATTTTGAGCCAATATAAAATTCGGCAATCACCAAAATTTAGCAATTTGCCAAATTTAGTTCCTCCAAAATTCCCACTATGTGGTACATGTATACATGTATGTCACAGAAAAGCTATTCTCTTACTGATGTGGTATGGACTTCGGCCAGTGGGTATCTAAACGTGAAAGTATCCACTGCCTCCGAAGATGACGACATCTTCTCGTGAGCAGGCTACAGGAAAAAACATTCATTTCTTAATTAATTAAAATGAGTCACATGACAGTCGTGTGATTAGACTAACGGAGAGAGGAGCTGGGCAGTCTTCTTGAGATACTTGTCCGCCAAAAGTAATGTAGAACATTTGACAGTGACAGCGTGAGGCTATTCGCTGTAGAGGAACGGAAGGACTGGAAGAAACTTGAGAGAAAGAGAGAGGGAAACTACCATACTGATCTGTAGGGAGGGAGGAAGAGAGGAGGAGATTAATAATAATAATAATAATAATAATAATAATAATAATGACACCTTTATAATGAGGACATTTTGTAATGTCCCACTTGGTACAAGCCTATACAAAAGTACCTCTGAAATGAGGACACCTCTGTATTAAGGACAGGTAGTGTGGGCCCAATGGTGTCCTTAATAAAGAGGCTACACTGTACATGTATTAAGGACAGGTAGTGTGGGCCCAATGGTGTCCTTAATAAAGAGGCTACACTGTATATCATTCATTACCTTCAATGTAAAGGCCTTGAGATGGTATACTAGATATAACTCCACCCACTGCTTCCCCTGGTAGCCCTAGGGACGTCTCAGTATCCAAACTCTCCCCAATGGGATGACCTAATGATGAACTGATACTAAATATAGTAACAACAATAATTAATAATTATGAACTGATACTAAATATAGTAACAACAATAATTAATAATGATGAACTGATACTAAATATAGTAACAACAATGATTAATGCACATAGTAACTTGAATAAAAGCCACAGACATAAGTCTGGGCTTTTATTCTAAAAATTTGCTACTTATAAAGAAAGGCTATACGTATTTTTCAGAATTTTAGCGTTTTCCTAAAATGGCCGTAACTTGAAAAATTGAAGTTGGAATCAGCTCAAACTTTCTACACAGTATAAGGACATCAATATGGACCAGAAAATGTAATAAAAATGGGGGGTAATTTCGGAGCCATTTTTTGGAAAAAACCTTGGGCTATAGCCTTGGGTATTTTTCAGAATTTTGACGTTTTCTTAAAATGGCCGTAACTTGAAAAATTGAAGTCGGAATCAGCTAAAACTTTCTACACAGTATAAGGATATCAATATGTATCAGGAAATGTAATAAAAATTTGGGGTGATTTCAGAGCCATTTTTTGAAAAAAACCATGGGCTATATAGTACAGGGTATTTTTGAGAATTTTGGCGCTTTCTTAAAAATGGCTGTAACTCGAAAAATTGAAGTTGGAATCAGCTCAAACTTTCTACACAGCATAAGAACATCAATATGTATCAGAAAATTTAATAAAAATTTGGGGTGATTTCGGAGCCATTTTTTGAAAAAAACCATGGATTATAGCCTTGGGTATTTTTCAGAATTTTGGCGTTTTCTTAAAATGGCCGTAACTTGAAAAATTGAAGTTGGAATCAGCTCAAACTTGCTACACAGCATAAGTACATCAATATGTATCAGAAAATTTAATAAAAATTTGGGGTGATTTCGGAGCCATTTTTTCAAAAAAACTATGGGCTATAGTACAGGGTATTTTTCAGAATTTTGACGTTTTCTTAAAATGGCTGTAACTTGAAAAATTGAAGTCGGAATCAGCTAAAACTTTCTACACAGTATAAGGACATCAATATGTATCAGAAAATGTAATAAAAATTTGGGGTGATTTCGGAGCCATTTTTTGAAAAAAACCATGGGCTATAGCCTTGGGTATTTTTCAGAATTTTGGCGTTTTCTTAAAATGGCCGTAACTTAAAAAATACAAGTCGGAATCAGCTCAAACTTTCTACACAGCATATCATATGTAGTGCATCCCAATAATGTGCTACACATAGCTACTAGAATTTGGAAGAGGATTACCAATGCTTTGTGTATCAGGTCCTAACTGGCTCAAGAGGTCAGCCATTGCAGACTCCTTATCACTGGGAACCTCGCTAGGAGCCCTCACTGCCGACGGCTGAATAACAGACCGGGGCAGCCACGGTACTACATTATTCGGAGGGGCCCCCATAGTCGCGAAATACTGAAGATCCTGAACTTTTGCAATCCAAGATCGTTTAGACACCAGATCGCCCTCTCTCAATTGAGGGTGATGATCACGACCAAACACTTGAGCAACGTAAGAACAACAAATCACATAGCCTTTGACCTCTACACCTTGCAAGGCAACTTGAGTATTAGTCAGCTCAACTGTTGAGTAAAGAAATTAGCAATAAATACTTCTCAATCTTCACTTACTGAACCAGTCGTGTTTCATGACATCATTGTGATTAGCAGCAACTATCCCTTTGAGTTTAGGATCGCTCGCTTCTCTCTGTAACATCAGGAACAAAAATATAACAAAAACAACAACAACAACAACAACAACAACAACAATAATAATAATAACAATAAAAATAATAACAATAAAAAATAATAATAATGTTTGTTGTGTAAGTATATTAATAATAATAATAATAATAATAATAATAATAATAATAATAATAATAATAATAGTAATAGTAATTTACTTTTTCATCAGATACAACAATCGTGTTACAAATGTCGGCCAGTAACTGGTCCAGCATCATACAGCCTGAACTGTTTCTGTGGAGACGAGGACGAGACTTCTTCCTCGTGGGAGGAATAGGAGAAATGTCTGTGGTCTCACTTGTTGGGTCACTGGACAATGGCGAGGGATCACTGGACGAGGAGGGGTCCTTGGAGGGGTCTTTGGTTGTGGGTGTGGCCTCGGGTATTGTAGGCCCAGTTTGAGTGAGAATTGATTTCAGAGCGTCGGTGGAAAGGTCCTGTTTTAGTCTCTGAAATAATAATTATTATTATACATTATAATTGTTTGATTAAATACATGTAAAAGAATAAATGTAGAAAATAGTAATAATAATAATAAGACTGATGTATTGTAAATTCATACTTTGTGTAGCTTATAGGTATCTTGTATCTTATAGACTACACTCCTGCTGTCATTGTTCCATAAAAAACAAGTATCAACTATCTTTAACTTATGAGTAAACTCCTCCTGAGAGAAAGAGAGAGGGGGGAGAGAGAGGGGGGGAGAGAAAGAGAGGGGGGGAGAGAAAGAGAGAGGGGAGAGAGAAAGAGACAGTAGTATTAATTTTAGTACAATAATTTTAGTACAATAATTTTAAGTCATAATATACTTGTGATGCTTCATCATCTTGACTTTGCCAAACATAAGAGAGACTATACAAAACAACATGATTATAATAATACAAATTAATAAACTATTATTTATAATATGTACAATTGTACATGTATATGAAATACCTTGCCAGTTCAATCAGGAAGTGTTTCTCTAGCCTTTCGTCCTCCTGCAAAGTAGGTGGGACTAGTTATCAATAAATATTTAATACATGTACATGTAATACAAAGCAGTTTAATTAAGCAGAGATTGATGCTAGTGATAAAAACAATTATTAATTATTATTTTTATGTGCATGCCCAGAAATACAAAATTGCCAAAGCAAAAATTTCCAAATTTATTTCACAGCAAAATTGTGACGAAATCTCACCAGAGTAGCTGGATTCATTATGACATAAGGATCGTCATCCAACACTTCCTACAATTAAAAACCAAAATCAATGACCACACCCAAACCACACCTACAACCCACCGTCTCACTCCTCTTAATACAAGTGAATCCTTTTAAACCGGTAGCCACACCCTCGCATGCCATCATGCCCCAGTTGGCACGTGGTCGTCGGACGAGTCCGTCAACCAGGGGCTGTAGAGTTAGTGAGTATTGCATCTTCAGAGAGAGGCCGTTGACTGTGAATTCAAGACCCTCTTGTTTGCGAACGGACGACCAGTAGTTAATGAGCGTGGGCGGTAACGTGACCACTAAATCTACGAGACTTGAGAAATTAGATTAATAAATCTATGAAATTAATAATAGATTTTATAGTCAATAAATTAGATTAATAAATCTATAAAATTATAAATTTTAATTAATAAAATTAATTTATGCTTGTACATGTACACGTACATGTACAAGCAGATTAATGCACTTGCAACAAAATTACTTTAGGTGTCGTGTGAAACGGATTTTCTTTGGGCGCATGTTAGAATGAACTGTCCCTTTTTTGATTGGACGCGATACGTAGCCTCTGATGATATCCTTAATACAGAAAGAGAGAGAGAGAAGTTATTGTAAAAATATACACGTACATGTACATACATGTACATGCACCATAATTTCTTTGAATTTTAAACATAAGCACATGTAGTGAAGTATTATTTCATTTCAGAAAGTTCAAGAGAGAAAGAGAGGGAGAGAGAGAGAGAAAGAGAGGGAGAGAGAGAGAGAGAAAGAGAGGGAGAGAGAGAGAAAGAGAGAGAGAAAGAGCAGGTTATTACCACACAAGACTGTAGCCATCTTAAAGTGCTAGCATACAGCAAAACCTCGGGTTGACTCTCCTGGAGGGTGTGGTGGTCAGTGGGTGTGGTTTTAAAAGAAGAGACTTACCTCTTTCTTATTGACAACAAGCGACAGTTTAAGGTCTATCGACTGAGACCGGAAATTTAAATAAGAATCGTGATTCTGTTAAAAGAAAAATACATGTATATTAAAATATATAAAATAAAATATATTAAAAAATAAATAAAAATAAAATATATTTTATACATTAAATTATAAAAAAGGAAAGAATTCTCTCCTTTTCATTTTTGGTGAAATTTGTCCAGGGGACCTTGGCCTGAGTTTTTAGCAACTTAAAAATTTGTAAGAAATACAAAAGACACATGAAAACTCCCCAGTTTCTAAAGTACGATAACAATCAACCCCAGATCTTACTTCATCACTTATTCTATTTGATGCACACCTCACAACAGAGTGGTGGAGGTGGGGGGACTCCCCACGTACTTTAAAGAGGAACTGAAGGTCAAGAGAGACTGAGGGAATCGTAAAAAATTGACACTCATCGTAACGTGAGGCTGTGTGAACATAACCATGGAGACCACCATTGATTGAGAGAGATACTGAGAGAGAGAGAGAGAGATCGAAAGAGAGAGAGAGAGAGATCAAGTGTCAAATTTATAATAAAAATACAGACAATTTGGGTCAAGAAAGTGTCTCTGTTATACAGAGGTGTCCTTTATGTGGAGGTTATTTTATACAGTAAGGAATGTAATTGGTACACTAGGTGCTGTCCGTTAAATGGAGGTGTACGCTATAGAGAGTGTCCATTAAGAGAGACTATACTGTCCAACACAAATCAACAACAACAACAATAATAATAATAATAATAATAATAATGATGATGATGATGATGATAATAATAATAATAACAATAATAATAGTTGATATACCATTATCAAGCAGAACAGCTTCAATGTCAAGCAATCTCAATTCCATAAATTCTGAAGTGTTATAAGGATCCAGAGAGGCTAGGACATTAAACAACAGCTGAGACGTTATCAATTTCGCTCTCCCATGGAGCAACAGCCGTAACTATAGCAACACGAAAATAAACATGTACATGTAAAAAGGCGTGGCCTCACCTTGTCCCACCATGGAAGAGGCTTACTGGGATCACGTGATGGCTTGGTGATGTAATCTATAAAAATAGTATCGTTACTAAATTTAGAAACTCCACGTTACTAAAATAGCTAAAAATACAATTCACTATTACAAATGTACAGAACGTACTGAAGCAGTAGTTAAGTTGGGCAAAAGACGGATCAAAACTTGGCCCCCAAGAAGCTTCAATAGTATCGACAGCTAAAAATAGATTTAAAGATTACATCATACATGTACTAATATTATAGTAAGGCTCTTACTGATTATGATGTCGTGGTAGTATTTTAAAGGTGTCAGTTTCGACACGGAATGTCCGTGTTGCCACGGCGATCCGACCGGAATCTCCAGGGACACACATTCTAAAAATAGATCCAGTTCTAAAAATAGAACTAGGGGGTGTGGCTAACATACCATCATCAGTTGCCTCTTGTTCGGCAAACACTAGCTTTCCAGACACGCCCACCGTATCGAGTTCTAGAAGCTTCCAGGAATAATCACGAAGCTGAACCTACAAGGAAAACCACACCCACAAAATGAAGCATAAAGTTGACCACACCCACTTCGGTGTGCTCGTTAATAAGTGATAATTGGAGCCCCCATAGTGTCGAGAATTGGTAGTCTTCAGGCAATGGACTAGAAAAATAAAATAATAATCATTTATTTATTTATATTAATTGTTAGATGTACTGTACATGTATAAACTAGTCTCTATATAATGGACACTTTGAAAGTGTCTCTGTTATACAGAAGTCTCCTTTATGTGGAGGTTATTTTATACAGTAAGGAATGTAATTGGTACACTAGGTCCTGTCCGTTAAATGGAGGTGTACGCTATAGAGAGTGTCCATTAAGAGAGGCTATACTGTACATGTACAAGTACATGTACATGTATTTATAAATATAATAATTAGCTGACCTGATGGGGTCAATATCTCTGATTTGTTTCACGAGTGCTTCTCTTCCCAAAAGCGAAGGGTCAAACATCAAGTAGAGTCTAGTTTGGTGTAGGGAGACTGATAGCAGATGTGACTCCAATGGCTGTTCTGTGGTGTACATCTCTCTGGCTCTCTGGCAGTAAACATTGTCATTCTTCTCTTCAAGACTATCAAAAAGGTTCTTCAACCTTTTACCTTAACAGGAGAGAGAGAGAGAGAGAGAGACAGAGAGAAAGAGAGAGAGAGAGAGAGTGTGAGAGTGAGAGAGAGAGAGTAGGAGAAGTCAAGATATGATATGATTGTACATGTATAGTACATGCAGTGTCTTATTTACCAGATACTTGTGATAGAGGTCCTTGAGTGTCTTGAATCCGACGAAGTTTCTCATTCAAAGTCTCAATCCGTCCCACCCTCTGCTGATACTCATCAAGCATTAACTGAGAGAGGGGGAGAGAGAGAGGTGGAAAAAGAAAACAGAAAGAAATAAAAGGCTCTCTCTCTTCATTTCTCTCTCTCCCTTACCACATAATTTGCTCTCATTTTAACTTCAAACCAATCGTCTTCAACAATAAAAGTGACTTTTTCAACTTCAACTAGTATGTCTAAAGGAACAAGAACCCTCTCCTTCTTTTTCTCTTTATTATTGTCACTTCCTCTGTGATATTTCAGAACAAACTTTCTCAATGCCGTAAGCTATAACGAGTTTTAAAAACCGACCAATCAAATTGCAAGAAATAAGCCCCGCCTACCATCTCATACGCAGCATAAAACTTGTACCGGTACGGAAAACACACGGTCAAATCTGCCGCTAGTAGAGAACTAAACCACACCCACTCATTAAATCAATTCATGAAATATCGGACTTACATCACAGTATTTTCTTTCACCTCTAGCGACGGGGACTGGTACCTATTGTCCAGCGACTCTTCGTGATACGGACACTGGCATAGGAAACTGGTGACTGTGAGTAGATCATGTTCGTCAAAAATGAGCTTAAGTATCTGAGCATCAATAGCTAGTCTTTCTTTTTGTAGCATGCAATGACTGGTGAGTAAGGATAATGATAACCTGAGAGAGGGAGAGGGAGGGAGAGAGGGAGAGGGAGGGAGAGAGAGGAGAGAGGAGAGAGAGAGGGAGGGGGGAGAATGGGAGAGAGAGAAGGTGAATAATAATGGAGAAGAAATATAAAGATACTTATATAAGTACAAGTACATGTAGATAAAATTTGTTGCTTCTACTTTGCTTTTGTGAGGTGAAAGTTAACTGTTCCTTCTTCAACTTCAAAGTGAAGAGACAAAGACAGTTTTGATAAAAACTGCTTTAACTTGTCACCGAGCAACAAGACCTCTCTGGAATGAGAATCAGTTTTAATAACACCAGCCTCTTCAGTATGGGAACCAGCCTCTTCAGAATGGGTTTCAGTCTCTTTAGTATGGGTCTCAGTCTTTTTTATGCTTGTTCCTTTAAAAGATATTACGCTAATTATTATTTAAAAAATAACTTACGAAATCTGTTCAATTGATCCTTAATTGCTGATATGAGATGAAACAGAGTAAAGTGTGAACAAGTATTCCAATTAATGACCACCTTGTTTACACGAGTTTGAACATCATTCTAACAAATAATAATAATAATAATAATAACAATAATAATAATAATAATAATAAATCTATCTTTTTTAGGACTCCCTCAATAATAATAATAATAATAATAATATTAGTTTACCTGTTCATAAGAGAGAGAGCAGTGATCAATGTCCAATAGTCCTCCATTAGGAAGATTACAAGCAGACACACACTGGAAGTAAGGAGCTAATGAATATTGTTCATCAATACCGATACGGTAACAGTTAGCAGTCCAATTCTTAGAAGACAAACTATCTAATCTGATACAAAGCAGTAATGGTGGAGAAGGATCTTCTCTGTCTTCATATATCAAAGCATTAAAACCATCAACAGTGAATGAAAAACTATCAACAAGGCTAGCGAGTCTTGATAGTCCTGTTTGGCGCTTGCTGTGGTCTGTCTCGTCTAAACTTGTCACACTCGTCTGACCGGTTTTCCTGTCACTGGTTTCAGAGTCTGGAGGGAGTGGCGGAAAGTATTTCCGCCTAAAGTGTGACGTTAATTGGAATAAAGTTGAGAGCGTAACGTCTGATATTTCAGTTACCATAGAAACACAGCTACCACTGATATTTAAAGTCGGGTTTAGTTCTTCCCCTTCATTGTCTCCGCCCGAAGGGAAATTCCCGTTTAGGACGAGCGTTCCGCTACCAAGCGATAGGACACGCCCCCAAACATGAAATGACGTGAGAGGAAGGACTTCGGGATCATCAGGTCTGGGGGTGTGGCCTAAACTCGATAGGTGGATATAAGAGTTTTTGAGTTGCAGAAACCCGTTCAAAACCTCCTCGGAACGAGTGAGTTTAATTATCCCGCCCACACACACTAACGAGGCAAATGGCCCTTTCCCTTGGCTCAGTTCTCGTTTATCAACTTCAAAGTCCGTCACAAAATCAGAGACTTCAAGTTTCGTGACCATGGCCACCGGTAGGCGATGAATCCAATTCAAAATATCCTGATCCTCATTATTGTTTGGCATGTCAAGGGGCGAGGGAGGAGAAGTAGATAGTGTCTTTATTTTTCTCATGACTTCATGAAAATGAGTCTTCCAGTACATCAGCTCTCCCTCTTTAACACACGTTTTGACAGAGTTGACCGCCATGGCGACTTCCGGGCCGTTGCTAAGAGACTAATCGCCATGGCAACAGGTAAGGGTATACATGTACAAGTTGGCTTACTTGATATTTTAGTAAAATTTCCCGAATTTTAATGACTTCTTGTGTAACCGAAGACTGCAATGCAATACCTGAAAATAATAAAACAAAAATTAACATAATTATGTACATGTACATTATGATCACAAGTTAAAAGAAAAGAGGATTTGAAGGTTAGGTATTATATTAATACATGTACATGTACTTCTCTTCACCTCTCACTGATAATGTTGATTTATCGGATTCAATCGTAAGACATGACTTATTTAGCGTTCCATACATGAATCTAAAAGAGAAAGAGAGAGAGAGAGAGAAGATCAAGTGAAATAGAAATGATGACAATGATTGAGAGAGAGAAAGAGAGCATTAATTTTACTTCAGTTGTCCATCAACCTCATAATTCAAAGCTCCCTTATCAAGAACAAGCTCTGTTCTCTAAAAAATACATAATAAGTAACTTGTACATGCATACATGCAGATATATGTACATGCATTTGGTTCCAAAATCACTCCCAATTTTTATCACATTTTCCGATACATATTGATGTCCTTATGCTGTGTAGAAAGTTTGAGCTGATTCTGACTTCAATTTTTAACGACCTGGGGGCGCAGCCCCCAGGTTGTTCCTATAACTGATTTCACCCACGTGCGATGTTTGTATTATATTTGTATGTCCATATTTACATTTCTTCTATACACGTTGTATTGGAGAAATAACAAGCCTTAGCAACCACCCACCCATGCTCCTTTACGTGATTGGGTGTGGCCACGGCAAACAAAATGGCGGCTTACACACGGGACAAAGTTATGAGCTTTCTAACAGCCAGAGAACATAGAGATACTGTCTAAAGACTTCTCTAGAAGCATTAGAAGGTAGAGAGAACCTCTATAAGTCTTAATAATGACCAAATTGTACTTGCAAGGTGGTGAAATCAATTATAGGAATATTTTTACACTGTTACTCTTGTCCAAGTTATGGTCATTTTAATAAAGGAAAATGTACATGTACATGTATATTGCAGTAAATCATTTATTACTATTTTTATTAATGATTATTAATGTCAGGGCATTCGTTGAGAGTACACAGTATTGATACTCTCAACTTTACCCTTTCAAAAATTTCGGGAACCGTACATTTCAGATTCCTGTTTAAGGAGTATAAGGACACAATAAAAAGTGCTGTCCTTATAAAGGATACTTTTAGTAAAGGCTATCGTGGGTCGCACTTATAATTAATATATAATGATATTCATATTGAAAAACAAGCTCTTGTACTAACTACATGTACAAGTACAGGTAGTTATACACATAATGCATTGTTGAAGCATGTGTCACTCTCTCTCTCTCTCTCTCTCTCTCTCTCTCTCTCTCTCTCCCTCTTGTTCTGTATGTCTCACGTTAGGTAGCAATTGTGACAAGTCTGGAGGTGTTGATGAAGTAGAATTTGGGACAGCTTTCCTTCTGAATCTCTTGGAAAGCAAAACAAGTGACCCTATACGTTAAGAGTAACAAGAAGCTTACACGAGTTAATGTACATGTACATGTATAAGAACAAGAAGTACAAGCTACATGTACAACAAGATAATAGAACAGTACAAAATACAAACATACTACAAAATGATACTAATATAATGATACCAATAATAGAATTATAATGATACTAATAATAGAACTATAATGATACTAATAATAGAACTATAATGATACTAATAATAGAACTATAATGATACTAATAATAGAATTATAATGATACTAATAATAGAATTATAATGATACTAATAATAGATGATGTTCATAATACAATAATGTACTTTACATATCACATAATTATACAAGTACATACAACCAAAGTACATACTGTAGTTTATATGAATTATTAATAATATTGTGCTTACTGCTTCCGTGAAATTGTGTAAATAAAGAGGAGAGGCTGATCTGGAGTGAGTGGTACTTCTTCTCAGCTAATAAAGAGAGATGGAGTAAAACTTTGCAAGAAACGTGACCATCTAATAGTGCCTCCCCATCCATCAGCTCCTATACAATATACATCAATTTATTATTATTTATTTATTTATTTATTATTCTTATATATTATTATTATTATTATTTATTATTATTATTTGTATTTACTATAAAAACCAGGTAGGATAGATTAGTAGAGTAGAGGAAGAAAACAAGAAGGAAAGCAAAGAAAAGGAAAAGAAAAGAACAGTATTTTTTATTCATTTTTTCTCATTTATTTTATTATTTATTTTTCTTTATTATTATTATTCTTTTTTTTATTATTTATTTTTCTTATTTATTTTATTATGCCAAATATACACTTACATTTTTCTTGCTGGCAAAAGACTCAAAAGCCAGCTGGTGCAGCATAACCTCCACTGATATCAGACTAAGGAAAGGAGAAGAAGAATATGACCTTTTTATTGTTCAATAAAGTCTTTACTGTTCAGTGAGAGGCTGGAGAATGATCCTCATTCCTCTGTCTGCTTGTATCAGATCAATGAAACTGATGCTTTCTTCATCTTGTTCAGTATTACTGCCAGTTTGAACGGCAAACTCTGCTAAACCAATATTAAACTCAGCCACCTAAAGAGGGGGGGAGAGAGAGGGGGAGAGAGAGGGGGGGAGGGAAGGAGGTATGAAAATGACATCTACTGGATGTGCATGTCTACTTTACATTAGTTATTAGGTGCCTTGAAACCCTGACATCATTTTTAATAATTTTAGAAATCTCTTATCTAATTTTATTAATAATTATTAATCTAATACTAAATTTTTAACTATCCCTGAAAATTGATATTAATAATAATAATTATTATTATTATTATCAAAATACTGTACATGTAACTTATTGGTTAATAAAACTGTGTTTAACAAATTACCTTAGCAAGCCACCGGATTGCTTTATACACTAATCTTTGCTTTAATTTTATCTTCACCCTCCTCTGTGAGACACTACTCCTCCGCTTCTTCTTTCTTGTCTCTATCTCACCTTCTTCCTTTTTGATCGCTTTTAGTTGGAACTGGACATGATCCACAGAAATAGAACAGAACTTGACGAAAGTAGACGAGTTGAACCACCTCAACCTTAACTTAATCCCTCTTAACTCCTGAAAGAGAGAGAGAGAGAGAGAAATTAGAAGACATTATGAACACTTGAAATGTGCAGACGTGTAAATCATACACAAACAATACATAAAGGAAAGCTTCTTCTCTACTCATTTTCTTTACCAGTTCATAATTCTCTCTCTTAATATTAAGGATTTGAAATGAAAGAAAGCCAATCCCTCTTAGGCTGATGGAGGTTTTCCATATTTTCTCAATTAAAAAAGACAGGAGCCATAAGGAGAGCCTAAATGCGGGCAGTCTATAGCTGCAAGGAGAGCATTATGTCCCTTACCTCACTGATATAAAGAATATAATGATTTTAGCAAAGAAATACATCCATTGCAACATGGCTTCCATTGTGATGTGGGCGGAGTTTAAAAGAGGAGTGGCATAGATTACCAAGGAATACAGATATCCGTTTACTCGTCATTTGTTACCGCATTATTTCTTATTGATCGTAAAATTTGTAATTTTTGGAGGCGTGAAGCAACAGACGTGCGCGCGCCAAGAAGTCAGAAAAATTAGCAAATCTCGAACAAAATAGAGCAGAGAGTTCCATCAGTTTTACAATTATGAATAGATCTAGATCTAAATCTGAATCCATTGTCTGGAATCTATTTGTAAAACATGCTGCAGGAAAAACTTCCACAATAATTCTGGAGAGGAGCCCTCATGTAAGATTAATTTTAGTAATTAATTACAAAAGTATAATTAAGATTAAAATAGGAAATTAGTGTGAAAGAACTAAAAGTAATGGTTGAAAAGAAGACGGGGGTGCCTACTTCAGAGCAGAGATTGATATTTGGTGGCAAGCAGCTGGAGAATTCAAAGAAACTTGGCGACTATCCTTTACTTAAACATAATGCGACTGTTTTCTTGATTTTACGTCTACCTGGAGGTGCTGACCGAATCTCTTTGGAAGAGAGGCACACGCCAATGGATCCTGGACTGCAATACAGTGTCGATGATCCCTGTATGATTTGCTTTACTCATCCTAATGATGAAGATCAGATCTACACCGCAAGGAGGTTACCACTAGTTATGCCTTGTCCAGGAGGTCACTCTGTCATGCATCCGCACTGCTTCATGCAGTACTGCCAAAATGAGATATTTGATAATAAGAAGGAAGCCATTTGCTGCCCGCAGTGTCAAACTGAATGGTCGCTAGATATCATTAAAAAATACGGAGTAGCTACCGAGGAAGAAATTGAAATATTCGCAGATGGAATGTCTGTTAATGTCATTCACAATGATCCAGATGTCACTGAGTGTCCAGGCTGTTTGAGTTATTGTGAGCGACGAAGTAAAAAGGATATTCGTATGCATTGTCGCATATGCGCTAAACAAGGCAAGAACTGTGAGTTCTGTTGGCATTGCAAGCTAAACTGGAAGACTCGTGGGACCAAGGAATGTGGCAACACTAACTGCAAAGCTGTTGATATTCTAGCACAAATCAAAGCCGCCCCTTTAAAGAGGGTAGTTGGAGTTCTTTGTCCTTCTATACGTCTTTGTCCTTACTGTGGTACTGCTATACAGCATGCTCATTCTTGCAAACACATGATGTGTTCAACCTGCAAGTGTGAGTTCTGCTTTATCTGTCTAAGACCTGCAAGGGATGGCTCCTGGCAGTGTGGTCGATACAATACAAAGTGTGTTCCAGCTCCAAGACAAGAAAAAGTACCAACAAGAAAAATTATTAACTAATTCAGGTTGGATTGAAAAAAAAACAAAGTTAATTACTGTACTGTAGTATGGTATTAGCTAGAATTGTTTTGTAGTTGATCTTATCTTTAAAATTAATTTACTATATTAATTGATGCATGGGTGTGTCATTATCAAATCAGCTGCAGCGCTGCATGTAGACTATGCATACATACTAGTCTCGCAAGCCAGACCCTTCCCGCCTACAGTCATTTGACTGTAGGCTGGGGAATGGTCTGGCTAGCGAGACTAGACTACATACATGCATCATCATGCAGTGTGTACTATACTACACCAACAACCTCCGTCATCGACAATAGCTTTCTTCCCTTGGATTGTCCCTGGGATTACCCCTCCCGTAAAGTGGCGAGTCATGCAGCGGAGTCTATAAAACAGCTTCAATCTACAGTCAAAGGAACCAGATAGTGAACAATGAGTGCCTGGAATCTTTTTCTCAAACATACTGATGGGAAAACGTTTACACTAGTAATTCAAGAGAGAAAAGAAGTAAATTTATGAGTGTTTACTTTATTATTGTTATTATATATATATATATATCTAATACAGAATGTTACTGTGAAGCAAGTGATGTCATTGGTTCAAGCAAAAACAGGAATACCTCCAGCTGAGCAGAGGTTGATACATGGAGGAAAGCAGCTGGATGAAGAGAAGAATATTATTGATTATCCAAACCTAGGACCAAATTCAACACTCTTTTTGGTCTTGAGACTGCCTGGAGGAACTGGCCTTATCTCTTTGGCAGAAAGAGATACACCACGAGGGCCGGATTTTGAGTATAGTGATGGCACCCCATGCATGATTTGCTTTACCCACCCTAATGATGATAATCGATATAATGCAAAAAGGTTACCATTAGTTCTGCCTTGCCGAAGAGGTCACACCATAATGCATCCACACTGCTTCATACAATATTGTCAAAATGAGATATTTGATAATAAGAGGGAAGCTGTTTGCTGCCCACAATGTCAAAATGAATGGACATTGGATGTCATTCAAAAATATGGAGTAGCTACCAAGGAGGAAATTGAAATATTCTCTAATGGTTTGTCTGTAAATGTCATTCACAACGATCCAAATATTTCTGAGTGTCCAGGTTGCTTGAGCTACTGTGAACGGAAGAATAAAACAGATAATCGAGTACATTGTCGCATGTGTGCTAAACAGGGCAAGAACTATGAGTTCTGCTGGCATTGCAAACAAAATTGGACTGGTGATGGGAGCAAAAACTGTGGCAATCCTAAATGCAATGCCGCTGATATCCTTGAACAAATCAATGCTGCTCCACAAAAAGAAGTGATTGGAGTGCTTTGTCCTTCAATGCGTCTTTGTCCTAACTGTGGTACTGCTATTGAACATAAGAGTGCTTGCAAGCAAATGAGCTGCAAAATTTGTCAGTGTGAGTTTTGTTTCATTTGCTTACGACAAAAACGAGACGGGTCCTGGCAATGTGGTCGCTCCTATGATAAATGTACACCAGCTCCACGGCAAGTTAAAGTACCATCAAGGAAATGATCAGTATAAACTAATTAACATTTAATATCTGTCTTGTTTGTATGGCGGTATATAGATATATATGAGCAAATATCAGTATTAAATTTTTGAAAGTTTAACCCTTGCATTTAAACTTTAATTGATTTTGTTTTATATCATAAACATTTAATTGCTGTGCACATGACATGTAAGACTTGTCATGCAGTTGAGCCTACTTGCTGCCTAAGTACAATGTGCAAGAGAGGTGGCAGTTATAAAACAAAATGTGTCCCATAACAACAACAAAGCAAAAAGATTGCATTCAATAAGCAATCATGTAGTCATAACTTGCATGGGGGTAATCAAGAATAATGTTTTGATCCTTTCTTTAAAATATAAAAAACAAAGATGCATGTAATAGTCTTGTAGTTGTGCTAATAATTTATTTTTGTTGATCATTATTTCCATTTAGTTCCTTCAGTAGTGACACCAGTGGCTCACATTCACTTATAAAAGACTCATTGTCACGTAACACCTGATGAAAGGAAGAGAGAGAGCATCAAGTTAATGATACATAATTATGAAGACATAATGCATGGTAGAAGCATTTCTTTACACTATGCTATCTTTATAAATTGATTTCTAAGTAGAGATAAGTGAGGTTCTATACCTTTCTAGCTTGTTCAAGAAGTCTGTCCAACTCTTCAATCTCTGAATCAGCTTTAGAGATATTCTGTTTTAAGATCTCAGTCTGTGATATAAGAAATGTGATCAGTATAAACGACACTATGTAGATGTTAATGCAAGGAATACTTTTTGAGTTGATTTGGTTTGAAAGTCTTTTGTGTATGAAACAAGTTTCTTAAATTCATCTTCTCCTTTCTCCAACTCTTCCTTAAGATGCTTCACCTAAAAGAGATAGAGACAGTTTTAAATTAATAATAATTAATATTAATTAATTACTTCTCCTTCAAGTTCTTTATTAGCCTCCAGTAACATTTGTCTCTCAACTTCAGCAAATTCAGCATTCTCCATATATTCAGTTTGTGTTCTCTAAAAATTATTAAAAAAGATACACATCATGTACATGCATGTCTACTTTATGCATAAATAAAAGTGTGGACAGGTTGATATATTATTACTAACTTGAAATGTGTCCACTAGTTGTGCTATCTTTCCTTGCATTTCTTTATTCTCTGACTTCTGCTTCTGCAAACTGCATGAGCATAGGAAGAGATACACATAGTTACAGATATACATGCATGTATATAAACTGATTCTAGCAATAACACTTTAAATCTAAGTTTTAGCTACTTTATAAAATACTTACATTTCTTCAAGGTTCTTTAGTTCATGTTCTCTCATTCTCTCTCTTGCTGAACTGATGACTCTCTCAACTACTTGTTGAGCTAATGAAACCTGATGCTGTTTCACTGAATCATGTAAGACTCCATTAGTCTCCTCTAACGACTGATAACTCTAAAAGAAGTGAGAGAAAGAGAAGGAGAAAGCATCTATTTTCCTTCACATATATAATGTACATGTACAATAAGGTATTTACTATAAATTTGTAATTGTCAGATTTATATTGGAAATTTAGTAGCTACAAGTAAGCAAAATGGCAGATTTTTAATTGGCAGATGCTCACTCCAGCTGCTAATCTCCCCCAGCTGTATGGTACACATACAGTAGCAGTAATACTACACTTGTAATGCTATACAGTAACTACATACATTCATGGTACATGCAATACCTTTTGAAGTGATTCGTGGTTTGATGTGAGTAATGAGAGCTCATGTTTCTATTGAGAGAATAACAGGAAAATAAAATAAAATAAACAAACATTTTCTACCAATGAAAATGAACTTTAATTTTAAATAAATATCATTACCATCGTAGTGCACCAATACAGTAGTATTATAAAAAATTGACTCACTTTCTGCATGTAATTTGATTCCCAATTAACTAAACCAGCTGCCCATGCCTCCAGACACGCCCCATTCTTTGAAGCCTGGCCATTAACTTTGCTCTAATGAACCACACTCTTAATAAATTAATTATCAAAGTGGGTGGCATTACCTGGAGCTTCATGAGCGAGTCGAACTTAAGGAATAGATTGTTGAAGAGATCAAGTTGTTCCTGGAGACCAGTGCACTGTTGTAGCGACCTGTAATAGAGTGTCTTGTACTGCAGGGAATCTGACTGTGTGGTCTGCAGTGAGGAAGAGAGAGGAAATGGTTAAAATACTCGAAAAATTGAAGTCGGAATCAGTTCAAACTTTCTACACAGCATAAGTACATCAATATGTATCAGAAAATGTAATAAAAATTTGGGGTCATTTCGGAGTCATTTTTCGGAAAAAACCATGGGCTATAGTACAGGGTATTTTTCAGAATTTTGCATATTTCTTAAAATGGCCATAACTCGAAAAATTAAAGTCGGAATCACCTCAAACTTTCTACACAGCATAAGGACATCAATATGTATAAGAAAATGTAATAAAAATTTGGGGTGGTTTCGGAGCCATTTTTCAGAAAAAACCATGGGCTATAGTACAGGGTAATTTTCAGATTTTTGACATTTTCTTAAAATGGCTGTAACATAAAAAATTGAAGTCCATCAGAAAATACCTCAAAACTCTTCATGAGTGTTGATACCCGGCCACTAATGACTCCAAGTTGAGTCTCCTTGCTACTGATCTCCTGCCTCTGTCTCTCAACCGTAGCCTCAAGATTACCAATCTGTCGTCTGGCATCATCCAATGAGGACTGTAGCAGCTCGTGGGATATAGTCATAGCCTCTAGCCTCTGCTGTAGATGAGAAGAGGAGACATTCGAATCGATAGAACAGACTGAGTCTTGAGTTTGTAAGCCGTTGAATTCCGTTTGAGTGCCTAAGTTGACAGAGGAGAGAAGGGGAGGCGAAGGTGAGGGAGAGGGAGGGTCCGTCTGGGAGCTGATGGACGTGAAGTGTCCTTTTAATGTATCGTCGTGTTCTTCTTCTTCGTTTGAGATTACTATGGAGGGAGGAGGGCGAGGGGAGGAGAGGAGAGAAGACTCCATTTTAATATCAGAACTGCTTCCTGTGACTATAAAGAGGAAAGAAGGGAGAATTATTGAAATAAAATTAAAATATAATAAGACACAAACACACACACACAGAGTAGAAATATATGCATGTATATAATACAGCAAAATAATAATATATGATGACACATGAAATGTATAATAAATAAAATATAATAATAAATACACAAAAATTACTTATATAGAATGTATAAATTAGAATAAAAATAAACAAACAAATAAATAAATAAATAAATAAATAAATAAATAAATAAAGAATGATCTCTAGCTCACATATTAATAACCAGAACATAAAAGCAAATGACACAAGGCCATTAAACACAATCAAGACATCAGAGCACGGACCAGAAGACACAAATACAAGATTGAACAAATTGACAGACAAGAGAAGCAAAGTGAGAACACTCCAACAGCCAAACATACTGACAATCAAAATACATGTATAGAGTACATGCACATGCACACACCTTCTTGTTGAGATGGGGCCTGTGACCTGTTGATTAGCAAACTCTCAAGACACTGACTAATGTCTTTATTAAGAGCAACAGGAGGAGGAGCAGGAGAGAGAGAAGGAGTGGATGACACTAGTAGAGTGAGTAACTCCTAGAGGGAGAGAGGGAAAATGTGAATAATAATAGTGAATAAGTGAATTATGCTAACTTGAATTGTAGCAGCTGTGTTTGGATTGAGTTTCAAGACAGACCCAGTCCTTTCTCCCTCTTCTTCCTAGAAATAAGAAAATGCTAGAAGCTAGCCCTCTTCTCTCTAGTATAAATAAATAAATACTACTACTCCATTTTTTACTACAAACACTCTACTCTCTCTCTCTCACTGTAGCCAAGATTACTGATTCATAACTTGCTCTGTATACCAAAGGAAGTCATAACATTAGTAAACTCACAGACAGTTAATGAATCACTCCTTGTACCTCATACACTCATCAGATATCAACTACATCATGTAGTGTGTACATAATGTGAAAGTAAACACTGAAAATAACCTGTTACATATACTGACAACTAATGTACACATACAACATATATGTATGTACTATATAAACAATACATGTGCTAATAGAAGAGTCTATGTACATTTGTTCTAGTCTAGACAGTAGATATGTACATGTACACATGCAGGTACATGTACATAACTTGTATATGTACATGCAGATGCATTATGGAGTGTTGATGTGATGATACATGGTGTAGTGTTGTGATAAGTAACTTGGAGCTGTTGTGACAAGTTCTATAGTTTAGAAAGAAATGTGCTCATAATAATGGCAATAATAATAATAATACAGTAATGTTAATGGAATTACTGTAAGCTCCATCTAGTATAATACTAAATATTATTATTATTTTCCTGATACACATACATGCATGTACATGTACTTATGTTGTGTATCAAGTTTGAGATCATTTTGATCAAGTTTGGATTTTTTATGAATTTTTAAAGTTGCTCCAAAATCGGGCCAAAGTCCCTGTACTACAGTAAAGGGTTTTGTATTGTGTGTAACTTCATATGAAGTACTATCAAGTGTACATAGCAATGTCTATACTAGTAAACAGAAGATATAAGTGATAAAGATTTGTTTTCATTTCATTCAATGAAGTGCTCATTAACTTCATTAACTATAAATAGAATAACAGAGTGTCAGAATGGTAGGAAAATATGCTCTCTATCTTTCTCTCTCTGTCTCCCTCTCCGTCTCCCTTTCTGTCTCTCTGCCTCTGTCTCTCTCTCTCCCCCTCTCTCCTTTCTTTTACATTATTTTCTTGATCTTCCTTTCTGCTGTCTTCCTTCTCTCTCTGAGTATTATCAGGTTTCAACATGCTGAGTGTAGCCTTTTGAACAGATCCCTCTACAAGATAACAATTTTTTTTAATCATAAAAATAAACCCGATAATGACAATTATATGTACAACATTGTGTCTGGAGGTGTGTGTGTGTGTGTGTATAAGTAATGTAATACCTGAGGACTGAGATATCTGCTTGAGGTGAAGCTGAGGGCAGATATCAAGGGACTCAGGTATTACATTACTGATACTCACCTCCAGACACACTGGTCACTGCATATAGTGTACATGTACATCTGTTACATATTTTTCAGTAACTAGTGTACTACCTGGTTCAAGACTAGAAGATCTGACATTATTAGTGTCCCTCAGTACAGCTGATCTCGATGAGCGAGAGGGTGAGTGAGGAGGAGTTGAGTTAGTCTTTGAGGATTTGATAGGTATCGATGAAGTTCTCCTGTGATTGATAGCTCCTCCATTAATATTCCTAGTAACAACATCAGCACTCATTCTCCTACCACCGTTTATAAGCTAAAGGATGGAAATACATGTACAGGAAGACACCTCCTCTGGCATCTCACTTGGTTTTCCTTTCTTGTTGGTATTTTAGAAGTCATTTTCCTTCTCTCTTTCTCGCCCCTGTTGGTAAAGCTAACCAGTGAAACCGGGTAAGTGTTGGTTAGTGGTTAAAAAAGGAAGGAGGCATTTCAGTGATTCTGCTCCGATGCATTCAAATCTGCCGCCATTTTAGGGGTGGGGATTGTGATCACGTGATGATGGTTATACACGTGGTTCACGTATCCGGAGTTCGAATATTTTTGGTGTCACTGTCCCATCTTTTACAAGTAAAGTTGGATTAGTGAGAAAATCTGGGCAGCTCCTCTTCTCAAAGAAATTCTAGAGAAATGAAAAAGTTCTCTTTGCAAAATTCTAAGTGAGTTTTTATTAAAAATACAAAATATTATCTTATTCATTTATGATTACGTAATTAATTATAATAATTTTATTGTGATGGATGACTAGTTCTTATGGCCAGTTATTATCAATAGATTCATGCGTTTACAAAAAACCTCTTCGATATTTGTCAGCAGAGAGACCGCCCACTCTTCATTACAAGCCACACCTCCTACCATCAGACCACACCCTCGCATAATTAATTCCTCTTTCTCATCTTCCACTGTCCCTCCTCACACTCCTCTTTCATCCTCTGACTTTTTACGTTTGGAAAGTTTCATAGGGCGATCTGAACGTCTTTTTGTGTTATGTGGAGCCGGGGTTTCCACAGAATCCGGTATTAAAGATTATCGTTCCGAAAACGTCGGTCTTTTTGCGACGACAAAGCAAAGGCCCGTCAATTACTCGGATTTTCTCAACAGCTCCAATGTACGTCAGAGGTACTGGGCCCGTAACACGACAGCCTGGCCGATTTTCAAATCCTTCAAACCGAACATAGCTCATCGGTCCCTAGCAACCCTGGAGCACTTGGGAAAGCTTCACTGGCTTGTGACACAAAATGTCGACGACTTGCACCACAAAGCAGGCTCCAGACAAGTTACTGAGCTACACGGGACAGTGTTTAGCGTCATATGTTTGACTTGTCGCCAGAAACTATCGAGGGACGAAGTACAGGATTATATATTTGAGATTAATCCTAACTGGAGTGCCACTCCGGAAGGTTTTGCACCTGACGCTGATGTATTTGTGTCCGAGGAAGCTGTGAGAACCTTCAAGACCCCTACCTGCCGTCGGTGCTCAGGGATTCTTAAACCTGACGTGGTGTTTTTTGGTGATGTTATCCCAAAGAAAAGAGTTGAATTTGTGTCTAAGAGACTTGCCGAATGTGACGCCATGTTGATTGCTGGGAGTAGTATTGAGACCTATTCTGCTTTAAGACATGTGAAGCAAGCTAAGGATCTAAGGGTTCCTGTGCTGATCCTCAATATTGGGCGGACGAGGGCAGACCCTATTGCTGACTTTATCATTAATGCAAAATGTGGTGATGCGCTGACATCTGTAGTTGAAAAAATGTTGAAAAAATAGAAAAAATATTAATAATATTATATTTTACTTCAGTAGCAAACTAGCAACTAGAAATTTGTTATCATCATTTATTTTGTTATTTATTGCAATAAAATGCATTTTTACACAATCATATTTGACTCATATTCATCCTTTAATGTTATAGGTGTTAAAAATCAATTCTAATATTCAGTCATTCGCTGATGTTCAAGCTACTCAGACAGTCCACCCAAATATTCCAATATTTAAATAGAGCCTCTCTACCAATACAATCTTGTGTTACCTCAAGCCGATATAACTCCCGAACGTTCTTTACAACCAGTTCAAATATGAGTAGTCTGATGAAGCTAAAGTCTTTTGTGAGTATTCTTGAATCCATTGCTCCTACTAATGCTGTACCAGAATGGGACAATGTAGGCCTGTTAGTTCATCCATCATCTGCTTCTAATGTCAGCCATATTTTCATGACTATCGATCTAACAGAAGAGGTATTAGAAGAAGCTCTGGAGTGTAGTCAGAGTGGAGAGAAGGTTGATATGATTATTTCTTATCATCCTCCAATCTTTAAACCTTTTAAAAGGCTCACCCAGTCCTCGGCTAAGGAGAGGATTATCTTGAAGTGTATTGAATCAGGTATTGCAGTTTATTCTCCTCATACAGCTCACGACTCAATTTGGGGTGGTATCAATGACTGGATTCTAAAAGCCTTCAATCAAGGGACTGTCCATCCTATATCCTACAATCAGAGCCCTGATAAGCAGCCAATTGAGCTTCTTGTTTCATCTTTTTCCAATAAAACAGAAGCAAATGAAGTTGCTAAGAGTATCATTGCTAGTGGGAATGTCACTGGGGATAATATGGAGATACTTGTCACTGAGAACCTCTCTGGTATCAGCTCTTATAAGTTAAAGTGTTCAGTGACAGAGACTGCTGTTAAGCCATTGATGCCAATGTTAATGAAGGATTGGCCACAATACAAGATTTCAATGTCTCCTTCACCCAAGGTATAAAGTTGAAACTACCTCCATGTGTACATATACATGTATGTAATCACTTATTTGTGACCTCATTCAACATGTTTCATGTTATAATGTTCCTTTTATTACAGATCCCTAGTATTGGGCCGGGAAGATTTATAAAATTCTCAAGTCCCTGTACTCTTGATACTCTAGTATCACAGATAAAGTCTTACCTGAATTTGACCAATATTCGTTTAGCCCGTCCATCCAGCTGGAAGGAAGGACAGCTAGCATCTTCCCTTGCTGTCTGTGTTGGGTCTGGTGCTAGTGTACTTAGATGTACAAGACCTGATGTCTACTTAACTGGTAAGGGGAGAGAAAGGAAGAGAGAGAAAGAGAAGTTGAATTTTATTTAATTCTCTTCAGGTGAAATGTCTCATCATGAAATCCTTGAAGCTACAGCTAAAGGGATTGTTGTCATACTTTGTGAGCATAGCAATACTGAGAGAGGATTTCTACACATTTTAAAGTCTCTCATTGAGGAAAAGCTACAACAGTCTACCCCGCTTAAGATTACAATATCAGGAGTGGATAGAGATCCAGTAACCATTGTGTGATAATGCTGTTACTGTAGTTTCAATGTATTATAAAAATACCCTACTTAATAGCAATAAAATTAATATTTAATAGTAGCTAGTCAAATTCAAGCATAATGAGTTTCAGCTATTGGCAGTTTCAGCAAATTTTTGTGGCTATTTTTGGGGGTATAGCGGATTTTCGTAGTACTGCTCAGCAAAGTGGAGAACAGCAGGAACAACCTCTTCACCAGTTGGAATAATCTATCATGGCAACAATAAACAACAATTGGTATGTTAATGTGTAGCTCACTTGATCTGGTGGCAGTAGAAACCCATATTCTCCAGTATCTCTTAGCTCAACAGTTATTCCAGGAGCACGATAACCTTTATTAGCTTCTGTTGCTTCTTCACCATAAAACCTTACAGAAAATCATCATCATTATTATTATTACCATGTATTTACCAGTCATCAGCTGAACCAGTTGTTGGATACAGTCCTATTGATTTTTGAGATATATACCTTTTTTCAAGAACCTGTCAATCATTATTATAACAATGTCAGAAATAGTAATTATCAATACACTCACATTATATATTATATCACTCATTTCATCATTGATTCTTTTCATCTGTTCTTCATCAGGAGCATCTTCATTAGTCCATCCTACATGCACATACAAGAAGGTGTTATATGCTGATGTATTTTCAATTGATAAATTACCATATGGTCGTAGTAGAAGCTGACCATAAGAGTGCCAGTCAATGGCACCAATAATGGGAGCATTGTCTCTAAATTAAAATTGCAAAGAGTTTCAATGTAGAAGGTATAGCATTATTCCTAACTAACTTGAAGTAGTTTTGTGTGTTTTGTGTTTCAGGTTCAGAGGCAGGGCCTTCTCCATGATATGTCTCACTGCAAGGATTATCAGAACTACCTCCCTATGC